CAAAGCATTTCAGAAAAGGGAGAGATTTTACAAACTTTCACAGATTTTTCATTTTATTTACCCTCTCTGCTCTGATTAGCAAACGGATGACAAAATATTGATGATGAAAACAAAGACAATTAGACAGAAACCTACATGTTTATCTTCTTGCATCAAATTCAAAATAGATATTTCTCATGTGTTCAGTATGACAGTGTTTTAAATAAAGTATCAGTATTAATTTGCTATTCGTAGTATTTATTTAGTTATTCATTAGTAGTATTTATTGCTGCTTATTTAATACTCATTTATTACTATTTAATTTATCCTTCAAAAGTATTAAATGAAGTATTTATTTGTATAACTATTATATATATATATAAGCATTTCTTCTTTTTTTTGCTCTGATATGAGCCATTCTGTCGTAATACTTTGACTATATATATTCTGGTTATATTGTGACTTTATTCTCAATATCTTGTATTTTTAGTTTAACAGTGGCCCTAAAACAGTATCAGAATTCAGAGTCTCTGGCGTTAGTCAAAATTGGTAAAGAAAATATAACAACTTCAAATTGTCTTAATTAAAGCCATAAAATACTCCATCATGGTTAAGAATGAAAATGAAACTGTAAAACTATAGGTGCCAGTCAGGCATGTTAGTTGCTTATCCAGACCTTTGTAAGCAAGCATTTTATGTAAAGCGACCTTCACAAACAACCCTGATAAAGAGAGTTCAAATACAGTAATTTGCAGAATAAAGCATCTGTATTCATTTCAAAATATACTTTTAGTACAACTCACGCTTAATGTTGTGAAGTCAAGACGCAATCTGTAGTTTGCAAAGGTAAATGAGTAGGCTTCCAGCCAAGCGTCTGACTACTGCCGTATGGCCACATGCTGCACGCCATATGCCTCGTGTAACCTATGGTCCCTTGGCAAAGCTGTTTAAAGCTAAATTCCTTTTTTTAGATTTTCTTACAGGAAAAATATTTTTAAAAAATGGATAAGACGCTAAAGACTATAGGCTCGATTGTTTCTAGCAGACCTACTGAAGGAGAGTTGTCCCTGAGAGAGCTGTCTTTGCCTTAAGTGTCTGATTTATGAGGTGAAATTTTTGCAATGACAGGTTGCTTTCGTGTGAAGTCTCTGTGGAAGGAATAAATACAATCAGAGGCAGAGTCAGGTTTCCAATTACCCATCCCAGAGTGAAAACACAATTACGTAGATATGTTCTGAGTGCGCCCTACTGGTGGTTTTTGCATTCTGAACTACTTGGTCTTGGCACTTTGGTTTTGTCCATAAGATGCGGTGTGTTGTCCGGAGACAAAGGGCTTCAATCTAACTCCATTACTCTTGACCTGTGGGTTTTTTTTTTTTTTTAATGTAATGCTAATTAGCCCTTTCAGACCAATTTGTTTAGGAATCAATATTTTGAGAAGATTAACTTAGCCATTTAATTTGCATGCTAGAAAATTACACACAGTCAGGGCTGCTGTCACCCGAGTTTATGTCTCTAATAGAGTCTGAGACTGCATTTCATTATGCCTTTAAGTATTGTGCCCTCTTCAATTTACCCTCCCAAATTAGCAATACACAGAACTTTTTTTTTTTTTCCCTCACAGGAATGGCCATATGAATTATAGTATTATTTCAAAGCACATTTGGTCTAAATGCCACTTGATTCTGTTATTATGTAGATTCTGTTGATTTCTGATTTTAAGTAACTAGTAAAACTCAGAGCCTAGCTGTTGTGCTGTTTTGGCTATTCCTGATTTGAACATTAAACCAAATTGTTCTTTGAGATTAAACCAAGGTTCTTTGCAGTTTGGACTGTGAAATGCAACAGTGTTAATGCTGCTAAAAGAATTCAGAAAGTTGTATTAGGAAACAAATCTGTCCACCATAAGGATAAGGATCTCTCCAAAAAAATCTATTTTGCTGTCTTTAAACAAAAGTGTTCTTCAAAAAAATGAATGTAGCGGTGGTGAAAGAGAAAAGAAAAAATGAATTATTAAATACAAATTTTAACAAACAGCACAATTGTTGAAATTCTTGATAGTGAAAAAAAGTGGACAGGTTTAGTTTAAAAGCTGAAGCAAGAGAGACTCTCCTGGAAAACAGATGCGAAAACTACAGAACTACAGATCAGCAGAACTATGTCAGCGAAACAATTTGTGTGATGCATAGCATATTCGTATATATAGCATATAATGAAAAAATCTGTACATTAGAATGTAACAAAATTAAACATGGCTAAGCTTTCACTGGCATGACTCATGAGGGAGGCGTGTCTAAAGTACATTTTGTACTTCAGCAAAATTTGCTGTTTAAGCAAAATTTTAGCTATTTGTGCTGTAACAGTTACATAGCTCTCTGTAGCCCTTGGTGTGTTTTTGAATCCTACGTTCTCCATAACTGAATATGAACTTATCTAATCCCCGCAGTGATTTCTTTAGCCCAGACTGGATCAGTGAGGAAAGGCTGCCTCAATGCAGCAGAGAGTTGTGAGTATGTGCATGCAGTGTTAGGTGTATGTTCATGGTATTAGTGCTGGTGTATTGTACACATATTTTGTGGATTTGGCACACTGTAATGTTTCGGTATCGTAACTTATCGGGAAGTGCTCCCATATACTAGACATAAAGGATTTGGGAATCTTCCAACTGCTGCTTGCTGCATCTACTTTTACTTCTTGCAATGTTTTATCATTAGTCATTAGAATTATGCTATTTTATAGAACATTTCTTTAGAATGTTTCCAATATTTAATTGGCTGAGATGCAATTGGCTGATTGTATAAGGACCAGCCATGGTAAAGATTTAAAAAAAAATCATTTCTCATATGTCCTTATTTGATTATTCATTTATTTAGCTCTTTAAGGGATTATATGTTCATAGTCATACTCATTCATGAGTTCCTTGGGTAGTTAAGGGTTCTTAGTTTCTTAAATACAGTAGGTTCTACCCTCAGTTGTGGTGTCCCACGCAGAAACTTTATGGGCTTCACAGACGGTTCACTTTGTTGGACCTCAAAGGACTGTTCTAAAAAACATAATTCACCCTAACAAGTACTATCCATCTAAAATACTATTTGGATGGGATAAGATTTCTGGACACGTTTGTTAAGTAATGTGGCTGGAGGAAGTATGCAGTAATTATAATTCACATGGGATAAGCTTTCACTTTATAAATCACAGAGGTTGATGTGTCTACAGGATGGACACATGGTTATTACCCTAATAATTCCATACATACTACTACATACACCTCATTTTATTACACACTGATTGGTTTGATCTTTATTATAAGCATTTGTGATAGGGATTATGCTTGATGATTAGCAAGTTACATGATCATATACCTATACCTGTGCTACCTGTGCTAGGAAGTCAATATTTTAAGTAAAACCCCAGAGGTGTCACTTCGCCGCATGGGATATATATATATATATATATATATAGAAATTAATAAAAGAAAAGGCAGCCTGTTCTAAACCCTATGCCCTTTGTACCTCTATAAATGGAGTAAGTTGTTCTAATGGTTATGCGACCATGTTGAGAGAAAAAGGGGGAAAAAACTACACCTAACATCATGAAATGATGTCATATATAACGGTTATTGTCAGTGGCTAGTTCTGATGCAGGCTAGCAAAAATTTTTGGGCCACCACCTCCAATCAATCAAAAGTTGAGATTTACAAATGATTCTCTGCACCCCCAGGACACTTTATGTAACCTTCAAACTCAGATTTCACACTACAACCTAATGTGTTATACACACACTGCTTGAGGGCAGCCATCCACAGCTCTCCAGAGACACAGAAGACAGAATGATTAAATTAGAAACAAACTCTGGATCTGTCCTTGCTTCTTTTTGTCTACTACTGCATACATGCTCATATTCTCGGTTTGCTCTTCAAGAAGTGCTGTGATTCACACATTTCTTGTCATGACTTATGCGGTAAATTAACACCACACATTCTTTGCCATGATGTATGTGGCAAATCAACACATGATGTCAAACCTTTCTCTCTGTCTTATGGTATAATATAACTCAGTGAAAATAAACACTCAAATAGATTGATAGCAAGGCGAAAAATCTCAATGACAGTCATTAATTTTCAGTAGACAGCCTGAAAGACTGGCAGAGAGAATTTGAAGACAAATGAGGTGATCTCTTATCAAAATTTCTGAACTGGTGTTCTAATGAGAGCTGGGCATAAGGCACAGAAGCAACTCTGATATGAGTGAAGGGGTAAACACACATCTGGATCACTTAATACAACAGAAGCTGCTTGTTGCAGACTGCATTTTGATTCATAACCTTTCAACTCTCTACAGGTGGGACAACCTATATCAGATAGTAACGTTTATCTTAGAGGTTTAAGCAAGGTTCTTGGTAGCCTGAACTGTGAAATACAGCAATGTATTCACAATAAAAGAACTAGAAAAGGATAATCGAGGGAGATACAGGGTTAACTCGAAGAAGGGATTGGAATGGACAAACACAGGCAAGAAAGAATTGGCATAGCAAAGGCTCAGAGCTTATTCACTGAATACGGAGGCAAGACTTTGCATTAATATGTGTGTACTACTTATGTAGTCCACAAACTGGAAGTGCAAACTGAATAGGAACAGGAAGTGAATAAACAGAACTAGAACTCATTTGTGGCAGATGTAAAGAATGGTGTATGCTTTATTAGCAACATAAGGTGTCCACCAATCGTTGATCTCAAATCTTTGTTGAGTTTGCATATTAAAATCTATAAGGATCTCTGCTACTTCAGAATCTTGCGACTTTTTTTTAACCATTAATTATTAATAATATCATGCTGTTTTATAGCCTTCTTTCTAATTTCCCCAAATGCATCTTTTAAATAATATTAATATGTATGTAGCCAAAATGCCCCTTACATTTACATTATTTTGGCAAACACCCTTATCCAGCGTAGCTTACATTTATCTTTTTTTATAAAACTGAGCAGTTGAATGTTAAGGGCCTTGCTCATGGGCCCAGCATGGTGGTGCTGGGATTTGATCTCATGACCTTCTGAGCTCGAATCCAACATTTTAACCACTGAACTAGCACCTGCTGCTTGATTGTACATGGCCCTTGCAAAATTTCCTCATTGTCTAAGGGGTGAAATGTCTACAGTCTTAAACCAACTTTACACTATACAATTTTGCTGTTGCAGACAAAAATCCACCCGTCCATCCTCTGTAGCGCTTATCCTACACAGGGTCTTGGGGGAGCCTTGGAGTTTATCCCAGGGAACTTGGGGTACAAGGCAAGGGACACGCTGAATGGGGTGCCAACCCATCACAGGGCACAATCACACACTATGGACAATTTGGAAATGCCAAAGAGCCTACAACACGTCTTTGGGCTGGGGAAGGAAACCGGAGTACCGGGAGCAAACCCCCAAAGCATAGGGAGAATGTGTAAACTCGGGCAGAGGCAGGAAGCAAACCCCCAACCCCGGGGTTATGAAGCAAATGTGCTAACCACTAAGCCACTTTTTTTTGGAATAAAAGCTGAGTGTGAGTGCTACTGCGACGCTCATCTAAAAGCCACCAATATGGTAGTGGTAGTGGAAATGGCGAAACGTAAATGAAGATAGACAGCCTTATTAGGTCAAGATCACACTGAAGAATGTTTCTGTTTATGAGACTGCATTTTCTACATGAGCCGGATCATGCTAATTAAACATATGACATAAGCAGAACATAATAATTTTCTTTAATTGCAGGTTGATTGTTAGAGGGTCTTCATCGTATAATCTGATATGAAGAACCCATTGCACAGTCTGTCATTAAATTTGGCCGAGATTTTATTCTGATCATCTCGTACAGTGTGACAGGTATATGATGTTGCACAGTCTAAAACTTTAGCTTTAGACTAAGGGGTTCCTCAAGAGTTCTTTAGATAGTTAGGAGTTCTTATCTTCCTGTAGAGGTTCTACTCTTTAGAAGGAGGAAAATCTGTTCACCCATCATTGCTTGTTCTATGATAATGATGTTTAAAGAGTTTGGGGAGTTTATTAGGAAACAAATCTTGTTACCAGCCATTGCATATTGCATGAAACTTTGGAAGCTTAGGAGATTAAGAGACATCACTGTCGACAAATCAGTGCATTCTCAAATCCCTGATGAATTAGTATTTTCAATTTTATATGAATCTCTCTTAAGTCTAAACAAGCAGAGACCAAATAAGAGATAATATATATGTAAGTCCTAGATCATAATAAGCGAGTAATTAAAACCAACCAGCAAACATCTTTTTCTTTTTTTCTTCTTTTCTTTTCCAATTAAATTTCCCCAAATGTACATTTAACTAATATTATTGTTTTGCAAATCCAGGATGAATTGTAGAGATTAAATAGGTGAGAAAGCCTTCTTTATTTATTTTCCTGCATTGCCTACATTATTTAATGTCGGCCATCAACCATAAGGCATATTCCAGATTTACAGATCATAGCGGGTGCTAATGCAGATTGAGACATTTGCTCATTAGCAACACCACTGATTCATTATTCAGACTAATCCCGCTCAGTGCATACTACATGACCCTAAACATACTGCAAAAGCAGCTCAAGACTTTTTGAACTCAAAGAAATGGAATATTCTTCAATGGCCAAGTCAGTCGCCTGATCTCAACCCAATAGAGCATGCTTATCACTTACTGAAGACAAGACTGAACCCACAAACAAGCAGCAACTGAAGCAGCAACTGAAGCAAGCAACAACTGAAGGTGGCTGCAGTGGAGGCCTGGCAAAGCATCTCCAGGGAGAAAACTCAGAATTTGAGTTTTGAGAACATGGGCTCCAGACTTCAGGCAGTCATTAACTGCAAAGGATTTTCATCCAAGTATTAAAATTATGGTTATATTTACAATTATGTCACTTTGTCCAAATACCACTGAGCCCCTGAAAATGGAGGTACTTTGCTGAAAATGGCTGTAATTCCTAAATGGTAAATGCCATATTTTTGTGGAACCTCTTAAAATAAAGCTGAAAGTCTACACTTCAATCACATCTTGATTGTTTTATTTCAAATCCATTGTGGTGGTGTATAAAGGCAAAATCACAAAAACTCTGCCATTGTCCAAATACTTCCGGACCTGACTGTACATATGGCCTCCCTCAGATTCCTGTTCTTGACTGACAGGAGTGGAACCTGATACGGTCTTCTGCTGTTGTAGCCCATCTGCCTCTAGGTTTGACGTGCTGTGCATTCTGAGATGCTTTTCTGCTCACAACGGTTGTCAAGGGTGGTTATTTGACTTACCATAGCCTTCCTGTCAGCTTGAGCCAGTCTGGCCATTCTCCTCTGACCTCTCATCAACAAGGCATTTCTGTCTGCAGAACTGCCACTCACTGCACTATTTGTATAAAACAAATGCTAGAGAGTGCTGTGTGTGAAAATCCCAGTAGATCAGCAGTTTCTGAAATACTCAAACCAGCCCACCTGGCACCAAGAACCATACCAAACATAAAATGTCTGACTATGAGGTCCTCGCTGTTAGTTTGTTAGCCTTCTTTAGACAGTTATTTGAGTAAAATCACACAAATAATCTTTTATTTGCATAAAAACGATTGTAGAGTATTTCCTGAAATTTCTGAATTCCTGAAGTAAATATCAATGCTGTTGTGGGCATGTAGCTTACCAACTGTGAAGAAAATGTTTGGACATTATCTTATACCTAATTATGTTTTCTTAATAGTTATAAATACTCCAGAATATGACATTATCTTATATAATGTTATATATAGGTATAACTTAAGTATAATTTTATCTTTCTTGACTGCATGTAACTGTGACATTTGAGGTTAGCCAGAATGCTAATCGTGAATAGTCATGTTAAAGGCCAGGCTGCTCGTAGTCATGGAATTACATTTAATAATGCTGCCTAATAAGTGTCACAGGCTCAATTAAATCTGGTACCAAATTTAAAAAGTCAGTTAAGGAACTTTTTGGTGTAATGCAGGAGCTTACAGTTTTCATAAAACTCCCAACTGATATGTAAAGCATTTACTAAACTATAACTGTGGACTGATTCTTAACTATTATTACCATTATGAACTTTTATTAGGTGAGGAATAAATCTTTCCTCATGGAAAGATCTTATTTTGGTCCTTTCACTCCCCCCAGAGCAGAACCTGTACCTCGATAACTATCTTTCAACGTAAAAATAGTCCTCTAACTTTTAGCTAAATGCATCATATCTGCAAGTGTGGATGAATTTTGATGAAAATCTCATTTTTAAAGTCTGTACTCTCTCCAAATAATAAGACGTTTCTGGTTTGCAGTGGGATTTGAAGGAGAGTGCTGCATATGCAAACTGTCAACCTTGTCTATGGGACGGGTTCATATGGTTAGCTCTGACGTCTACATTTAGACTACAGAGATTTGAAATGTTAGAAAAAAAACATGCCAGTATGTAGATTGGCTACTCTAAATTGCTCCTAGTTGTGAATGTGTGTGTGTGTGTGTGTGTATGCATGGTGCTCTGCAATGGAATGGCATCCCATCCATAGTGTATTCCTACCTTGCTATCAAGGTGGTCCTGGGAGAGTGCCTGGACCCACCAAGGCCCTGACCATCATAAACTGTTTATTGATGATGAATTAATGAATGAATGATTGAGTGTTATGTCCCTGGATGTATTTTGGCTTTCCATCTCTCTCTCTCTCTCTCTCTCTCTCTCCCCCTACTACTATTACTACTACTACTACTACTACATTTTTTAATGATATCACAGAAGAGAAAATTCAATGATTCAATGCATGAATTGGGAGATTAGGAATGGCGTATGGTCATTAGGAAGAATCTGAAAGGTTTGTGACAATGGTGACATGATTTAAACCCATTGTGTTACTGCCAGTTAACACCATTGTGTATATTCAAGCTTTGTTCTAGCTTGGTGCTTATTTGTGTTTTGTTAGTAGCTCATATGTCAGCCTTTGTATTTTACATACACTAGCTTTGTTAGCACCTTTTGAATAGTCAGAAGGTGTTGATTAATTTTCTTTGAAAGCAGCTCTGACAGTAGTGCCAGCTTTAACACAAATCACAGGTTTATACTGATGCATTTAAATCCAATTATACAACTCATTCCCATGGACTTGTACGCAAATCCTCACAAAAATAATTTAAAAAAAGGATTACATTTCTTTAATTCTAAATTGCTGGTATGGTCAAGAGTTTATTTAACATTTATGGAAGGAGTCTCCAGTGTCAGCATAACATTTTAACAGTCAGTAAGTTTTCCACCATGAGACAGTCTTCCCAGTTTCTTGGTGACATGACATAATCTGTATTTTTGGTCTTATTAACTTTGAGAGAAAAAAAAAAAGAGTCATTTTTATAAACAAGACTGTTTATACTGTAGCTGCTATAACAGTGAAAACAGGAAATTGTAACCGGATGCTCTCCAACATTAAATATGACTATAGATTGGACTATGGTTAACAATTTGACATGCCATTAATTAATAAATTGTAATTGTTGACAAATTGTTTTGGTTTAAGAAGAATAAAACACTTCAGGACATGCTGTTATGGAACATCAATTTTGTGGTCATTTGTAGTCAACTGTGATCATTTTTGAAGTGCACTAAATTTGCAGGAAGTGTCGCCATCAGATTTCCTACTGGTACAGTATAAATTGAGAAATTTGCTATGAATGACCTACTTCCTACTTTAATTACATGAATTAATTTGGTGGCTCACTTAATTAATCCAGGGACACCTATGAGGCAGCGTTTCTACATGTAATTTCATAACCCTGTGGTGCCTTCACCTTTAAAATGACTAACTCTAACTAAGGACTCATTATCACAGCTGTAGACACTAATAGAGTATACAACTTGATATGAAATACTGAATCTTCACAACATAAAAACTCTGAAAATATCACTGGACTTATATGCACTTGCATCATGACTACATTTCACACAATATCTAATCTTTCCTTCACATGTGTCTAGTGATTATTTACAGCTGCTACCAATATTTATGTTGATGCAGAAACACAATCATAAATTGCAAATAATCCATACTACACACCGACATTCAAGCATCATTAGCCT